AATGCCGCACTGAAAGGAAAACCTCATTTCAAAATCAGCTTTCCCGAAGACAGTAAGACTTACTCGAACGAAAAAATTATGATCTGAAAGTGTTCCACAGACAGCAAGCAATACACCAGGTCTGAGCATAAGCGTTCGCTAACACGAACTAAAGGCATTCACGAACTAAGATTTTGATGTGAACGTCACGACTGTGCTCCGACATGTTCAGCGAAACATACACTCTGCCGCAATATGTGCATAATAACAAACCTGATAATCCGTCGAGTGTATGGAGGCTGCGGCTTTGCCCAGCCCAATAAGAGTTTCAACCTCCACAACATCGTTGATTTCTAAAAGAGTAGTGATACTGTGAAAGATGCAAGCGTTAGGGAAACACTGCATTGGAATACCGGTATCGTCGACTACGGTGCCTAACAGAATCTGTAGGCTGCTGAAACACTGGTAAATGAAATTGTTGGCATTCTCCGGCGGTGGCCTGAAAAGTCGTCACATAAGCCGCGTCAGCTTTTCGATTTGTCACTCGACCCTTACCCGGATGGTCGCTGGGATGTATGATCTTTCACCTGTTCAGAACCCGTGTCTATTCTAAGAAGGAAAAGGAACAATTTTAAAATTAAACGCCTCACGGAAATCGTCAAAATTCAGCACAACATCGACGTTTACGCAAGAGCCACCGTTGCATACAGTTCACATAATTAGTAGAACACTGTAATCGATCGCATTTTTTTAAAAACATAATAGAGAAGAAATAAACCCAGCCGTTGTCGATCCCGAGTCCGGATGAGAAAGGAGGATGCTTGGGGACGGTGGAAAAATCTTCCGTAGAATTTGGCCATTTTCCCATGGTTATACCCGCCCCATCCTCGTTGGAGTCAAAAACAGCTGATAGGCTCATGGAGAACATAAGCAAACTGTGAAAAGTCGGCGATCGAAACTTGCTTCACACGTTCTGGCAGCAGGGACATGGTAGCAGGACGGCGACGACTACCAACGATCTACACTAGGATGACGAAGATGACAGTCAATAACGGAGTCAGTACCTGTTCTGATCAGACGCACTACACAACGCGATGCCATCATGAAACGTCGGCTAATGCTCCGCTGGAAGGATGTCGTTAGTGTGAGATTACAGTCAGAAATTGAAACACCTCTCTCAGAGGGAGACAGCAGGAATTAGTTAATGAAATGGCAAAGTACCAACGGAACGCCAGGACTCTGGAATTCAATAGAACCTAACCTGGCTAAAAGAATCATTGAATGGAAGCCGTTTGGCAGAACGATGACAATCTTCTTCGTACGGTGGAATAGACGAAAGCTTT